AGCCTATTGGTCCCAAGCAAACGATTAACGTACCCTATTCTAGTCGAAATTCTAGTACTACGCAATGTTTGTTTTGATTCGCTATGAAAGTTTGACAGATAAAATGAGGGATTATTGGTTTTTCCTATGTTTCGAGGGGTGATTCGACAAGCTTGGGACCGAAGATAGTACCAGAGGTGAGCCAAAAAGTTGAGCACGTTTCTTTGGGACCTACTTGTCTTAGAGTTACCTCTATGGTTTCATCCTCAGAAGAAAAGTTTGTGTATTTGCTCATTTTTCTATGCGGTGCTTCCACCTTCGCTCGAGCGCAGCGCTACTGTATCTGTCGCTTGGATTCTGGCAATGTTGCCAGTCTTCTTGATATGTTGTCTTCGCTTGGATTCAGGCCAAGTTGCCAGTCTTCTTGATATGTTGTCTTCGTGAAAAGAGATGGAAAATCGTGTTATAAGCAGGACAAGAGCAGATGATAGCATCCAAAACATGTCCGCCACTCAGACCTCTGGTCAACACCTATCGTGGAATAACCTGGGGGGGGGGGGGACGTACTGTCGAATCAGCTCATTCTTGTATGAAACTGGTTCCAAACGTAAACAAACCCTGTAGGCAGGGTGCCTTCCATTCATTTTGACTAAAAAAATGTTTTATGAAATTATGGAAGAATAAGATATTATGATGATATTTTGAATGTGTTAGTAATAAGAAAATATTGTAAAGTTTGTGTTTCACACATCAAACCTGCAAATTTAGCTTTGACAGAGTCACAATGAGCGTTTATCTGATCGTCTCTTCGCGAAGAGTGAAGAGCGAAGAGTGGATGAGATAAATTACAAAATCGCTTATTGCGACTCTCATCTTGCAAAATTGGCAGGTATTATGTATCCAACACAAACTTAACAATCTTTTCTTGTTGTTAACATAATCAAAATATTTTCTTAATATCTTATTATTCCATAATTTCTTAAAACATTTTTTTATTCAAAATGAATGGAAGGCACCCTGCTGTAGGTTTCTTATGGCTTGTTTACGTTTGGAACCAGTTATGCGAGGTAGGCGACGATTGTTCGTATTTGACAGCCACCTCCCCCCTGGGAATAACCAGCCTTTCTGCCGAATCGAAGCTATTCGAGATCATCATCTGCGATCATATACTACGTGCTACGAAGACCCGCACATCTCGACCGATCAACATGGATTCATTCCCGATAGGGGCGATAGCTACTAACTTGTTAGATCTAATTACCACCTGTTTTACGGCTACGGAAGAAAAAGCGTAGGTTGACCTAATCTACACGAACCCCAAGGCGGCTTTTGACAAAATCGATCGTAAAGTGTTAGGCCGCGGCCAGGGTAGACGCGACGCGATGCGACTCACGCAAGGAATAATAATAAATAATAAGATTCTTTTGAATTGGTCGCGTCGCGCCGCGAATCGCGTATACTAAGGGTACGGCCAGGGTAGAAGCGATTCGCGACGCGACGCAACCAATTCAAAAGAATCTTATTATTTATTATTATTCCTTGCGTGAGTCGCATCGCGTCGCGTCGCGAATCGCGTCTACCCTGGCCGTACCCTTACTCTGCAACCTATCGCGATTGAGAACCTCAAATAAACTGATGTCGCTTCATGTTAAGCACGGATCTTGCTAACACGTCCGGCGTCCCGCAATTTGGGACCGTTACTATTTGGTACGCTGCCGCCAGGACGTTTGTTAACTGATGTCGCTCGAATAAATTTGTCATCAGCATCGTTAAATGTCACGTGCATCGTTTCAAAGGCCCGATAATTGATGAATACCACATCGATGATACTGTTCTCAATAGTGACGGATCGTGATGTTGTGTTGGATTCGAAGCTTTCCTTACATTTCCACTATGCGTCCAAAGCAAACCGTCAAGTTTGGCTTTATATCCAAAATAGCCAACGATTTCACGGATCCACACAGCCTACAAGCGTTGTATGACTGATCCTGGAAAACGCTTCAAGTATATGGGCTCCAAACAACGTAATATGCATCCTAAGAATCGCGCGAGTCCAAAAAAGGTTCATACGGCTTGCGTGATCGTTCAAACCTTCCATCGTATCGCGATAGATGCCATTTGCTTGGACTCGAAAAACTTGATTTTAGACGTAAGTTACAACAAGCTACGTTTGGTCGCAAAATTGCTCAACGGTGACGTCGATTGCACCCATCTTCTATCGCTGCTCGACTTTCGTGCTTCAGGTAGGATGCTAAGACAGCGGTCCCTATGATGCAACCGGGATTTCATCGTACTCTGTATGGTTATTCCCGAACAAAGTCGGTTAACAAAATGAAAGCAAATCGGTAGTAAAGTTTGTAGTTCCTATAATAATGAAGCAGCCCAAGGCTAAAAATCTCAAAAAAATCAAAAAAAAAAAAAAATATAATGATGAAAACTTGTTTTGATTTCAATTGTTGTGCAGTCAAGACTTTTTATATTACAGCAACTTAACATGAAGTTCTGCTATTAACGTCTTGTTTAAAATTTAACTTAAGTTCATCTGTCGTTGAACTTACGATTATTGTTTATTTGGTTTGTTTAACAAATTTTAGGTCATTTGTGACTTGTGCGGGGTGACATTTAAACACAAATCTTTCAGCGTGAGAATCATGGATGCTAACCATTTACGCCTGGCCCGTATTCAGTTAAATATTATGAATGCAGAATCAGTAATCAAATTGATTCTATTAAAAAAGCAGGATTAGTTTTTCGTTTGATTCAACAGTGTAAAATTTTGCTCTCATTTTTGCTGTGTCCATCAAAATGAGATCAACTGGAGTATTAAAATTAAGTTACATCATGTCAGCTAATTTTGATTTTCAGCTTTGCTCGGGTAGCCAGCCTATATGTGTGATGGTTCGTATGTCTGTCTCCGTCGAATCCACGTTCGATTTTGGTATGTTCACGCCTCAATTTGTAAATTGAGTAAGAAGATTGAACCTCATTTAAGATATTAATTAAGACTGTTGTGTCAGATGCATTATTAAACAATAAATAAATAAATAAATACAGTATTCGTTAGGACTGTTTTGTCAGATGAATTATTAAACAATAAATAAATAAATACATAAATAAAGAAATGTGAGGTGCTTTATCTCGAGTAATAGTCATGGTCATGAGAACAGCATGCTGTCTTAAAAATTTGTGTACATTCTCAAATTTGAAATTAGCGGTTATGCAAGGAAATTCTTTCGTCATTGTTGCTATTGACTCATGACAATAACAGATTTGTTTGCCAAACATTATATTTCAAAATATTGTGCAGTTGGTCAGAAATTACACTTCAAAATTTCGGTCCATTTTGACTTAAAAAATCAATCCTTTTACGCGAGACACCAAAAACAGTATTTTCTATCACACCTTAAAGATTCGTAATCCGTTAATAAATTAAACAAGGAATGGTTAATTGGTCCAAAAATTATTACTACGTTAGTTTTTTGCCACTGTACAACATTTGTAAGACAACATTCTGTTTTCTTGATTAAAACCCAACTCAAACCACAACATATTTTTTACTTGTTCAATACTCCCCAACGAATCATCTCAGAAAATTTAAAGATATTTGGTATAATAGTTACAGCAGTTTATGTGTGTCCCATTTTTATCGAATACACCATTTACAACAGCAGCGTATAGCCTATTGCATTTCATGTCACAAAACTATTTCTTCTTTGGGTCAATGAATTATGTATCAACCTGCTTTCCACAAGCTCATTTTCTTAACCTTATTTCAAACTAAGCACAGAACATCTTTGCGTAAGTTTTGTTTCATGCCATGGATTGCGATTTTAGCGATCAACATTAAACCAATAATGATCGTCATTATACATTTGGTATGTTCCCTAAGTAGTAGTGTCTTCCTGTGTTGTCACAATGAGCGAGCGCAGCGACTATCGATGGACTAAAATAATTGAAAAAAAAAAAAATCAATTGATGGGACGAAAAGGACATGAATTAATTGCTTTAAAATCACATTGTACAGAAAAGCCCGATCAGGGGGGGGTTAAGTTTTAAGCATGCACTTGCTACAATTTCTTGCTTCGCTTGTTTCAAGTTTTATTAATTTTCAGTATCATCATGATTCATCTGGGGTGGGTGGGAATGATTCATTATTGTTGTTTTTTTTGTTATTTTATTCGCTTGCATCTCGGGGCAACTGTTTTGAACAGCCCTCACGGGGGAACAGAAAAACTTTAAACAATCATTTAATCGTGTATGCTTTCATTAGTTAATAGCTTCTTCTTTTTTTTCTTCTCTAAACTAGTTCTAGTATTTAGCGTTGATTTTTCTTCGGTTCTAGATCCTGCACTGGGTTTTGTGTTTGTGTGAGAGTGTGAGTGAGTGAGAGTGAATTTGCTTACGTTGACTATCGATTACCGTTCATAAAAACTTGATTTTTGTTTTCTTGTGCTTCAGTTGGTTTTCTTGAGATGAAGTTTCGCTTTGGTTACTGCATAGCTAAATTGTTAAATCCTAGTTTCTTTTCTTTCTTTCTTTTTTTTTATTTTGTTATCATCCCTTCGCTAATTGAACTCCGACGCGTTCGAAACGCAGACCGTGGCGCCGCCCTTTCTTTCAATCGAAATTTTTGATTATTAATTCCGCCCATTCCTATCAATTAGTTATAGTACTTTCTTATTGGTTAGGGTTTACCACCTCATATAAATTATTATATAGAAAAAAAAACCACCGACAATAACTGAAGCAAACACACTGCCTTTGCTTCTGTCTGCCTCTGTGTAGTAGGATGCCGATTTGCTGATGTCGCTGTGTTTTTGCGTCGCGTCCGGAGCTCCTTTCCTTCCAAACGGGCCGCCACGTTTTAACACATGCAACCTCCCTCCGAGTCCTGCTGGTCGCCGGAATTCGAAGGCTGAGTCTGCAGATCGACGGCTAAGAGACACGCGCTCGGGTTAAGGAAAACTACTCACGCTCGAATGGATTGGGAAGGTCTTATGTTAGAATAAAAGAACGAAAAATGCTTCTATAAATCATACTCTGGTCAGTTTATTCAATCGTCAGAACCTAAATGTTAGCACTAGTGTAAATTTTCAATAAGCAATCAAGATGGTCCGTCAATTCCGAACCATACGCGCACTGTTGCTACAACGACTCGATAGGATTTTGTTTTTCGTAACGGTTAAACTAAAAACTAAAACGTAAAACTAAGGAAAGTATTGTAGTAGCTTTTTTATTACGCTTAGACACAACTTAGTCGACTATATTAAATATTTGTATAATGTATCGGTAGTAGTCGTAAGTAATTGCGGAAGGTAGAGAATGATATCAGTGAACAATCTTGTTGCTCTGCTCTACTACTATAAATACACGGAACAAAAAATAAACAAATCAGATTTTTATTTCAAAGTGGTTAAAGGAAAAAAAAAATATTAGCATTCTTCGCGCACGACAAAAATAGTTTATATTATTCAACATTCAAAAAATCAGTAACACAAATTCTATCTCGCGCACCATGCAAAACCCGCACACGCATTGGACTGCACAGTGTTTTTTACTGTTTCTTCAACATTTTAGACCCCGTTGCAACAGTTTACACGTACTTTATTAATAAATAAAAATATGGATAAAAATGTGTTTACTCTCTCGCTCTCGCTCTCTTTCTTAAGAATGGACATATATATTGCAGAGGCGGATCCTGCAAATTTAATCATCATAGTTTCATCCTCTTTGCTTCATATTTTTTTCCTCCCAAATTTTCCTCCGTTCGATCGCCTTCACTCTTTTTCCAGCTGGTGGATCCCTTTGTGTAGAGAATTTCCCTACTAAATAGATAGATAGAAAAACAAACGAAAAAAAAACTCTTTTTTTTTGCGGAATCGTATCGCAGGTTCAGCATGCACAGCCACCCTCCGGGTCTTTTGTCTCGTTCGGTGAATCCTTGAGTACAACCTCTTGCACTGATAGAGGAGGTAGGAGAAAATCATAAGTTAAGGAAAATAAAGCCAATAAAAGTGTGTGAGTGCGTGAACAAACGAAAGATGAACTGAAAGAAAGATACATGAAAGTTGTGAAAGAAATGATGAACAAACACAATTGAAACAAGCACTGAAGAATGACGAAGAACCAATAACATGCGTGCAGTTGACTGGAAAACATTTAGTACATGTGTTCTGTGTACTCAGATTAAAACAAAAATAAAACCTGCGAACCTACGTAGTGCTCGTCTCATCACGCATGATTATTTATTCAAACTCAGTGCATACATTGCATCGTGAAGAAGGTATCCGGGTGATTCTATAACATTCGCCCGAATGGATCATTTAACCGAATGCCACATAAGCTTAAAAATAGGGTATTGTTTATTGTTGTTTTAAATCGACAGGCTGGATGAAGCCCCAATGATGTCATAACATAAAAAAACCATTTAAAAAACATATATCTTATAGTCAGTTACACCTGCCGGCGAAAAACAGAAGAAAACTTTCTACGAAGCGCATCACGGGAGAGATGAAAGTCGAAAACAGATGCAACTCTGTTGAGTATTCTCTGCAGACCGCAAATCGCACCGTAAAGACTGGAACGCGCAAAAATTGGTCGACAAAAAATCGTTTCTTTGGTAGTTCAATTCATATATTTAAAGGAAAATATGTTCGTTTATTCTATTGGTTAGCCAAATCCGAACTGCCGTGCCTTCCGCTTAACCCCTTCCATTAATTTTTTCACAGTGGTCTCATCGACCTTATGCGCCGCCGAAAGCCAGTTAGATTTAAACTGCTGCTCGTTTTCCATGGATTTATTCGTTTTTTTGGAGATTCCGTTTGACCAAGGCCCAATACCGTTCGATAGGGCGGAGTTCTGGGAGGGTTGTGGTCTTTGGGTACCACAACCACGTTGTTCGCATCGTACCACTCGATTGCCTTTTTCCCATAGTGGCAGCTCGCCAAGTCCGGCCAGAACAGCACAGGTCTATTATGTTGCATTAGGAATGGTAGCAGTCGCTTTTCCAGGCACTCCTGGACGTAGATCTCTTGATTGATGCCGCTTATTAGACCACACGTGCATATGGCCTACCAGACGAGATATTTTTTCGGGAAATTTGATAATTTGATGGTTTTCAAAATTTCAGCCACCTTCCTTTTTCCTGATGCGGTATAAAACTCCTGTCCCGGAAGCTGCTTGGAATCCGCCTTCACATAAGTTTCGTCGTCCATGACGACACAGTTGAACTTAGTGAGCAGATTCGTATACAGCTTTCGGGACCGCTGCTTTGCCGACCCAGACAACCAAAATGCACGTATATTCAAAGTTGTTTCTGTAATATACAAACATATATACAAATAAAAAAATCGTATAGAATGCAAAAAAGGGCCTATACCTACAAAAGTGGAGGCCATATACGTGCAAATTTTAATTTCTTTTTAATCGAGTTGATTTGACATTATATACGATATAATCTGTAATAACAAATTCAATTTGAAAAGCCTTGCGATGTAATCCCATTTAATTTGTGATACAGTATGATGGAAAAATGATTCATCGCATAATAGTCGGAAATTTGCATTGTATATGATTTAATTTAAACATAATGCGATGTATGTCATACTTATATGCAATGTTGACTTAAACTGTAGTTATTAACGATACTGTCTGTACATTGTTATACGACTTCTGGTTGTCTGGGGACGTGTTTTGTTTGTAATCTCGGTTCGCCACCTTCACCTTCTTAAACGTCGACAACCCGGCTCGTTTCTTGGCCAGCTGCACAGTAGTATGGGAGACATTGAGCTTGCCAGCGACGTCCCAGATGGAGAGGTTAGGATTCCGCTTATATTTCACCGCCACCTTCTTCGTCGTCGTTGCCACGTCCGGATTACGATTGTCGCCGCTTCCAGGCTTCCTTGCGGTCGACAGACGCTCCCCGAACACTTTTAAAACGTTTGTCACGGTCGATTTGGCCACATCCAGCAATTTTGCCAACTTGGCGTGTGAGAACGTCGGATTCTCTTGCTGCGCGAGCAAAATTTTGACACGCTGCTCCTGTCATACTGAAAACTGAAGAGCAAACGGTGAAAACTCATCATAGCAACCATTGTATATACACTCAACTTCCAAATGCAGCATTTCATGTTTTTTATGCATTTTTAACAGAAATACATCAATTTGAAGTTGACCAATTTTTGCGCGTTCCTGACTTTATGCTCCATAATTTGTGCTACGTAGAGGTAGTCTTAACATAAGGTTATTACGAAGCGGTCGGGGTTGAACATTCAGGGCAATTTACCTCAGGATAGCCACGCAATCTGTCCTTCCTTGCAGGATATCGGCTAAGGTTAGGGCTCTGCTTGTGTCTCTTCTAGTCCGGAGAAGTTAGCAATCTACGCAACGCAAAACGAAGAAAGCGACGTTGAACAGATTCAATTCTCTTGGCACCGATGTTGCAGTTTGGGTTCCAAACCGCGTCGATCGAACAAGCGAACAATAGAGAGATTTTAGACAGAAGTTTTTAGCTATCCAAAAAATGAACCCTAAAGTTCTTGGCGCCTTATCGACAACATATGCTGTTGTGTTGCTTGAATAATAACTGCGAATCCAAGATCACACCCAAGTCTTTCACATGATTCACGCGTTCGATTGTCGAGCCAAACAGGTCATAGCTAAATATTATCGGTTGTTGTTTTCGTGAGAACGTAATAGCATAGAGTTAACTCTAAGACCATAAGGTCCCGAAATAACGAGCTCAACTTTTTGGCTCAGCTCTGGTACTATCTTCGATCCCAAGCTAATCGATTCACCCCTCGAAACATAGGAAAATCCACTAACCCCTCATTTTATCTGTCAAACTTTCATAGCGAATCAAAACAAATATAGTGTAAAGGGTGATACGGTCAAAATTTGGTCAATATCAACTTGACGTATTTCTTTCAATTTTGCATTTAAAAAACCTGAACACCCCTCATTTTGAAGGTGTGTGTGTGTAGAATGTTGCTCCTATTTTGATTTTGGAATTCACTCTTCAGTTGTCAAAATGCCGTCCAAGCAAGAAGAGCAGCGTATCAAAATTTTGCTCGCGCATCGCGAAAATCCGAGCTACTCGCACGCAAAGTTGGCAAAATCGCTAAAAGTTGCCAAATCAACCGTTACAAATGTAATTAAAGTATTTGGGGAACGTTTGTCGACAGCCAGGAAGTCTGGATCGGGGGGAAATCTAAAACCGGAAGCCGCTGAGACGACAAAGAGAGTTGCCGGTAGTTTCAAGCGAAACCCTAACCTCTCTCTCCGAGATGCCGCAAATAAGCTGGGTGTATCGTCTACAACCGTGCATCGAGCCAAAAAACGAGCCGGACTATCGACTTACAAGAAGGTAGTGACTCCAAATCGCGATGATAAACAAAATACGACGGCCAAAGCGCGATCCCGGAGGCTGTACACGACGATGCTGACGAAGTTTGACTGCGTGGTAATGGACGACGAAACCTACGTCAAAGCCGACTACAAGCAGCTTCCGGGACAGGAGTTTTATACGGCAAAAGGAAGGGGAAAGGTAGCAGATGTTTTCAAGCACATGAAACTGTCAAAGTTCGCAAAGAAATATCTGGTTTGGCAAGCCATCTGTACCTGTGGCTTGAAAAGCAGCATTTCCATAGCTTCCGGGACTGTCAACCAAGAAATTTACGTGAAAGAGTATTTGAATAAACGTCTGCTGCCTTTCCTGAAGAAACACGGTTGTTCCGTACTGTTTTGGCCGGATTTGGCATCTTGCCATTACGGTAAATAGGCCATGGAGTGGTACGCCGCCAACAACGTGCAGGTGGTTCCCAAGGACAAGAACCCTCCCAACACGCCAGAGCTCCGCCCAATTGAGAAATACTGGGCTATTGTCAAGCGGAACCTAAAGAAGACCAAAAAAACTGCTAAGGGCGAGCAGCAGTTCAAGGCAAACTGGCTTTCTGCGGCGAAGAAGGTGGACAAGGTGGCTGTACAAAATCTGATGGCAGGGGTCAAGCGTAAGGCCCGGCAATTCGGATTTGGAAAAGCGGAAGCCTAACTGAATATTTTTCCTGAATTTTATACTAATTGAACTTGAAAAAGAAATTTAATTTGATTTTTTAAATAAACGATTTCACCGATTTACACGCGTTTTCCCTTGACCAAATTTTGACCGTATCACCCTTTAGTACTGGAATTTATACAAGAATGGGGTACGTTAGTCGATTTGCTTGGGACCAATAGGCTAGTCAAGTAGTGAGCCAATTTAAAATCTTTAGTTTCGTATTGATTGTTGGTAATAGCGAAGCATTTGGTTGGGTTCACTACCATTCTGTTTAAACTGCACCAACTAACGAATACATTCAGATGACGTTGAAGAAAGTGACTGTCAGCAATGGAGCGGAAGGAAGATTTTGAGGTCATCTGCATATGATAACCGAGGAGCTTCGATGACCAGATACGCGTCGTTGAAGTACAGTATTAAAATCAACGGTCCTATGTGGCTTCCCTGAGGTATAACTGATGTGGCGAAGAAGCTAGCTGATTTGCAATCTCCTATGGCCACCTTTAGTTGGCGACCAGTAAGATATGATCGAAACCAACTCAGAAGATTACCGCATAGTTTAGCAATCGCAATAGCATGGTTCAACTTCTCGAATGCTGCGGATTGGTCTGAATAAATAACGTCCGTTTGAACTCGAGCCGACCTGCTTTCGGTTGTATACGATGTGAGACACAGCAGATTGGTGGTTGTAGAGCGGCCGACAGTAAACCCATGTTGATCAGCACTCAAATACTGCTTGCAATGCAACAGCAACTGTTCCATAATCACTAGCTCGAATAGCGTCGAAACGGCACTTAACGATGTAATTCCTCAACAGTTATCCACAGCTCGCTTCCTTCTTTTTTTGTGGACGGGAAACATGTGCGCAAATTTCCAGCGGGATGGAAATATGCCACTGGAGAGAGC